AAGCTGAAGCTGCAATGTTATTGATAGCAGGAGATTTACAATCTGGTTCAATGGAACAGTGTTTGGAGGTAAAAGGTGATTCAAAGGAACAGAGGATGACTCATGCAGCGCATAGACGTAAAGAAAAGGAACAGCAGAAGGCTGGTGTTGGATCCATAATACAAGGTTCGATTACTACAGAGCCCATGGGAGGAACAAGACCAAAGAAATCATCAACAGCAGATCTTCAAGCTGTGTTCCAGAGGCTTCAAGCCATTAAGGATGGCAAAGTTTCTGACATGGAATGTTAATGGCTTGAATTCACCACAGAAAAGAAAGAATTTCATTATTTGAAGCAACATAAGAATGATGTTGTTTGCTTGCAGAAGATGCATATTGCTTTAAAGGATCAAAGGTATTTGATTAATTCCCAGTTGGGACCACATTTTACAACTTCTGTTCCAGGAAAAAAAGGGGGTGTAGTTATTTATGTAAGAAAAGACTTATCGGCTAAGTTGATTCTGATACACAAGGAAGATATGTTATTATTGAATTAGTATTACAAGGCAAGAAATTTCTTATTATTGGATTATATGCCCCCAATCAACAACAAAAACAGTTTTATAAGTTTTTACATCAGAAGCTAACTCAATTGGATTATAAATCTGTTATTATGATGGGTGATTGGAATGGTGTTTTAGATTCAATTAAGGATAAGAAGGGTCTTTTTAAATCTCCTAATTACACTAAATTACCTAAAGCTTTTTTTGATTTGAAGGATGATTTGGAACTTAGAGGCATTTGGTGGGAATGGAACATTGAAGAAAGAGACTTTACCTTTTTCTCGGACAGGCATCAATCGTATTCTAGAATTGACTTTTTTAATTACTATGATCTTTTTTCTAGGGTTAAGAATGCCAAGATTTTCCCTAGAATACTGTCAGACCATAGTCCTGTATGGTTGGAGTTATCTGTTGAAGATGGGAATAGAAGGACTTGGAGATTGAATGAAAATTTGTTTAGATATGAGGGGAATTCACAGAAATGCAGAGAATATTTGAAGAAATTTTTTCTTTTGAATATGTATAAGGGTACCTCGATGTCAATGGTGTGGGATGTTAGTAAAGCTTACATGAGAGGGGTTCTGATTCATATGAATAATGCACACAGGCATAAACAGATGCAAAAACGTAAAGAGTTGGAAGAAGAGATTAAACTGAAAGAGAAGGCTCTTATTTTAAATCCATTGGACAATAGTTTAAAGGTTTCTACAGCTATGCTTAGGGAGCAATTTAATATGTTAATGGCTGATCAGATTGCAACTAACTTGCGGTATATGAAACATAACACGTTTTGTAATGCAAATAAGCCTGGTAGGTGGTTGGCTTATCATTTACGGAAGAAACAGAAGTCAAGGGTTATAGAGAAAATAGATTATAAAGAGGTATATCAACAAAACTTGATTAAAAGGAGCTTTTTAGATTTTTATTCAAAGTTATATGCTAGTGAAAGCATACAAGTTTCAGATATAGAAAAGTATCTACAGGCAGCACACTTTCCTAGACTTTCAAACGATCAACGAGTTTAGTTACTTCTGAGGAAATCATTTGGGCAATCAAACAGTTTAAAGGTTAGTAAGGCTCCTGGTACAGATGGATTAACAGCAATCTATTATAAAATGTTATCTGAAGAAATGATAGAACCATTAAAGGAACTCTTTAATAGTGTTTTGTTGGGAGCAGAGGTACCTCCATCTTGGAGAAGGGCTTTTATATCGTTGATCCCAAAGGAGGATCAAGATCTTACCCAGCCTAAGAATTATAGACCTATATCTCTTTTGAATACAGATTACAAGATTTTTTCGAAAATATTGGTAAATAGATTAATGCATGTTTTGAACCAATTAATCCATAGTGATCAATCTGGATTTATAACTGGGAGATATATGAAATATAATGTAAGACAAATTGTTAATTTGAGTACTTGGATAAGAATAATCAAATTCCTGCGGCTTTGATATTTTTGGATGCTGAAAAAGCTTTGGATCAGTTAAATTGGCAATTTTTATTGAGAGTTGTAGAGAAAATGAATTTTGGGGATAAATTTTTATATGCTCTTAAGACTATATATCAACAACCATTGGCACAAATTATAATTAATGGGGGATTAACAGAAGCATTTAAAATTGAAAAGGGTACAAGACAGGGATGTCCATTATCCCCATTGTTATTTGTTTTAACAATGGAGATTTTATTAATTAAAATTTGTGAATCAACTACAATAAAGGGAATAAAAATAAAACAGAATTATAGGGTTGAGAGCTTTTGCGGATGACTTGGTTGTGACTTTATCTCAACTGACAGATTTGGTAAGGGATTTGGTGGAAATCATAACCCAGTATGGGAAAGTTTCTGGTTTTAAGGTAAATAACAATAACACTAAAATATTACCGAAAAACATGTCTGTGAAGGAAAAGGATATGTTAGCTAAATTAACAGGTTTTGAAATAGTGAAAAAGGTTAAATATCTGGGAGTATATATTACATTTCTAATGTTAAATTATACAAAAATAATTATGACACATTATGGGTAAAAGTGCAAAAGGATTTAAATGATTGGAAAAAATTACAAATATATTTGTTGGGGAGAATCTCAGCGGTTAAAATGAATGTTCTTCCAAAATTTCTTTTTTTGTTTCAAATGATACTTATTTTGAAAAAAGATGCCAATTTGGATGAATGGCAGAAGGGTATTAATAAATTTATCTGGGCAGGCAAGAAACCAAGAGTTAAGTTCAAGATTATACAAGAAGTACGGGAAAGAGGCGGACTTAAGGTGCCTAATTTGAAATTATGATGCGGTGGCTTTAACATTGATTAGTGATTGGCTTAATTTAACAAATATAAATATACTTTCTCTTGAGGGATGGGATTTACTATATGGATGGCATGCATATTTAATTTATGATAAAAAAGTAGATCAGGTTTTTAAATCCATATTTTAAGAAGTGCTTTATTGCGTGTCTGGAAGAAGTATTATTATAGGTTAAATTATAAAATACCAATTTGGGGGATTCCAGGACACGCGATAGAGGGGGTATCCAGGGGTGTGAACTTGGATAGGATTTCTTATAAGGAATTACTTAGATTGGTAGGGAGTGATTGGCAATTAAAATAGTTAGTTGAGTTAAAGCAAGAAAATATAGTACAATCTTGGTTTCAATATAATCAATTGTTGGTTAGGTGGAAGTTAGATCAAAAGGTTGGTATTACTTTAATGGATAAGAATTTGGTAAAACAGATTAAAGATCAAAATCGAGCACGTATAAAGAGAATTTATAATGTTTTAATAGAAATGGATTCGGAAACGGAATTAGTTAAAGATTGTATGGTAAAGTGGGCTCAAAATATTCAAGAACCGATTCTATTGGATACATGGGAGGTAATTTGGGTTAGAAATGTAAAATTTACCCAGGCACAAAATTTAAGAGAAAATTTTTATAAAATGTTTTATAGATGGCATCTGGATCCTAAAAAGTTGTCTTGTATGTATCCTAATTTACAGCCCAAATGTTGGAGATGTGGTAATTTGGAAGCCACTTATTTTCATATATGGTGGACTTGTAGAAATATAAAAGCCTTTTGGATTAAGATCTGGTGGAACATTCAACAGATTTTTAAGAGAAAGATAAAGTTTACCCCACAATTATTTGTATTGGGTGTTATTACAGATTGTGATGTTAAAAAAATTAATTTGATGTTGAATTTGATAACAGCTGCAAGGTTTTTAGTAGGGCAATACTGGAAGAAGGATTGCTTGCCTACTAGAGAAGAATGGACAATTAAAGTGTCAAATTTAGAAGAAATGGCTAAGATTTCTGCTTATTTGAAGGATCATTCACAAGAAAGATACATTTCGGTCTGGAGAAGATGGATAAATTATATTCAGAATAAATATGGGACTAAAAAGTTTCATTTAGCTTACGAGTGAATTTTAGAGTATTATTATGAAATTATTATTATTTTTAGTATTAGTATTGTTTAACTATTTGGGGATTGTATTGTTTAATAATTAGGATATTAATTTGTTTATGTTCTCATTATTATTATGTTCACTTTCAATTTGCTTATATTTATGTTAAAGGGGAGTTAAAGTGCATTATGGATTTGGTTATTTATATAATTGGTAATGTTAGTTAGATTATGATTATCATATTTATAACCCTGTATTCAGCTCTGGGAAGTGGGGGAGTGAGGGGGGGTTTGGGTGGGTTAATATTGTAATTTTTATAAAACTTTTTAATAAAAAAAAGATTGGCAAAAGAGAATATTATTGGAAGAAGAGGAAAGCTACTGTATGGACTATAGAATTATAGAAATTGTTTTTTAAACATTAACCCAGATAACACGTTTACCAAATATTAAGGTATATGTCAAAAATTAATAAAATATTTTTTTTAAAAAAAAGATTGTGAGTATTATGTCATATTAACTTCTCTCTGTCCCAATTTTTCAGATTGAATTCTGAGAAGCTTAATTTTTTTTTAAAACAAAAAATTCCTCTAATAAATAAATGTCCTTCTTTACTAGACATTTGTTGTTTGTTTTTAAGGGAAATGCAGTGGCTCAGTGTTTAAGACAATGGCTTTGTCAGCTTCAAAGCTGGCAGCCCAGGTTTAAGATCCAAGCTCCACATGATTGGGTGATCTCCTGTCCTCATTCCAGCTCCTTCTAATCTAGCAGTTTGAAAGCACAGAAATGTAAATAGATATATAGGCACAGTGCTTCAAGTTGGCCACATGATTGGGGAAATAGAGATTCATAAAGCACTGGCTCAATGGCCTTGAAATGGATATGAGCACCACCTTCTTAATTGGCAATGACTAGCAAGGTAATATCCACAGGAACTACTTTACCTTTTTTTGGACATTTGTTCGTGATGGGCATAGGGTGTTGTTTTGTTTGTATAGATAAGGACTTGAAGAATTATAATTAATACACTAGAAATAAATCACTCAGATACATCTTCATCAATAATATATATTTAAAATAATACATTTTCTGTATTTGACAGCATCCTTTTCATATTACTTTTATATATGAAATAAACCAATTTTTGAAAAAAAGTATTCTATTAAATTTCTACAGTAAAATAGACTAGAATACCCATTATTAATATATTATGAGATTTTAGTACAAAATCCATTTGATATTGCACAATCCATGGCAAAGAATATCCCAGATTTTAGCATTACATCCTTATTGCTACTCAACTCAAAATAAAATATGCTTTTAACACATAATAACATTCAACAAAGAAATGGTCAATCCACAATATTTATCATTTTGCGTCTAAGTTACCAGCAATTTTTTTAACCATATCAGGCAACTCACAGGTCTGTTTGGGATTATACAAGCAGTGAGAGAATTGTAAATCATTACCAAAGTATCTGCACTGCATTAATAAATCCATTAACCAGACCTGCAAGTATTCTGTTATAATATCAAGCAGCTAAGCCCTATTGCTCATATCCTAGTGTTGCTGGTTAAACTTAAAAGTTCAAGCTAATTTGTAGAGAGTGCAAAAAGAATAATTTCTAGCATGATGGTGTTTCCGCCAGATAAAAGGTCTAGAGGATGGCATGATAAAATATAGCTGTATGTTATAGTATTATCCATGCCATACATAGTTTTGCACCTTTTCTGCCAACTAGAAATCTACCTTTGTTCTCCATCATAAATACTATTTAAAAAAAAAGTCAGCAGATATAGGGAAATCCAAGTTGTGTCTGGGAATTGGGAATTTAAAATACTCAACATTAATTGGAAAAGGCTGGAGTAAAGTATTGTTTAACTAAGTGCATCTTCTGCTCGTTTCAAATTTTCCTTTAAGCCTGCGTTCAGCATCTTCAAGAGGAAATATTCAAAACTTGTAAAGTCTATGTCTGAGCAGTAACAGTTCCATTTATATTGCTTATCTTTCACAAACATGTCACTCATATGATAAAAAATAATATAAACTGTAAAAGTAAATATATTTTTTAGGATTTTTTTTCTGGACCAAAATCTGTGTAACATGTTGATATGGCTATAACTTGTTTAGATAAAAGAGTAGCTTGCACCAGATGTTTTATTTTACTTCATGGTAATTGTATAGCATGATCAGGCTTGCAGGGGACTTAAAGCTTTGAATCTAGATTTTAAACATGATATCAACATGTTGGTGTATGCAGCCTATTTGACCCAATTTGTTCCCTCCTTTGTGAGAATGGGTAAAATAACATGCTAATCTTTGAACAGGATTTGTAGTTGGTTTATAAACTGCGTGTTTCTGCAGGCATAACGGATCAATATAAGCCTACTTCTAGATCACAAATTAATTTAACTCTTGCCAGCAATCCTGCATCATAGGCAACATATCAACTGTATTAAATGATCACCCATTGTTTTTTGCAAAATTGAGAGATATAGACAATCTTTTTGATGCCAAACACTGCCTTTTTTGCATGTTGAACTGCTTTTCCCAGAATTATCAATTATTATACAACCAGAAGGAATTGTAGCCCCAAAATATTTGGAGAATGCCATGTTCTGGGCTAGATTTAGATATTTTAAGTCTACTGGAAACTTTGCTTTTTGGCAACTACTAACAAAGAATAAGGCTGTATGAGAATTGAATATGGTAAAAGTGATGCCAAGATGCATATGATAGGGTGGGGAACAGCCCTTTAAATGGAAAGTATGAATATAAGCAAAAACAAAGCACATTTTCATTAATGTGGATGATATAAAGTATACAGGAGGGCTAAATTGATGGACATTTTCATATACTGTATCAAATAATAAAACTGTAATAACTGTTTAAAACCTGAAAATTTAAGGCTCTCCTTCAGATTCTCAGATCCTAAACTGTAGTTTACTCAGCTGGGAAGTAATAGTAATAGTAATAGTAATAGTAGTAAAGTTGGAAGGGACCTTGGAGGTCATCTAGTCCAACCCCCTGCTCGGGCAGGAAACCCTACACCATTTCGGACAAATGGCTGTCCAGTCTCTTCTTAAAAACTTCCAGTGTTGGAGCATTTACTGCTTCTGGAGGCAAGCTGTTCCACTGATTAATTGTTCTCACTGTCAGGAAGTTTCAATTTATCAGTTTTAATGTTTATGCAAAACTGATTTTCTAGTTGTCTGTCTGTTGCTGACTCAATATAACTATCTATAATTAGTGTTATACATATGTTAAATCTTCTAAATTGAAAAATATATTTCCTATTCTTAGCTTTTTAATAAAATGCATTTTTTGGTATCAAATGCAGCAGAATATAACTATTTTGTCTGTTTAATAAACAAAATGGCTTTTGAATAACTGGCACACAGTGTAGAATCATTATTGCTCTCATAAAAGCTATGCTTTTTTTCATGCATATATTTAAGTATATATTTCTGAATTATTGCATAAATCTTGGAGGATTTTATATCCTTCTGTGATTTTGGTGCTTCACATATATATGTGTGTGTGTGTCTATATGCGTACACACAGACACACATACACATACACATGTACACACAGACACGCACACACAAACACACTCATACAAAAATAATAGTGTTTCTTGCAAGATATTTCATACAGGAAGAACTATGGAAAATCACTTCCATCATAAATCACTGGCCGTTGAACAGATAGGTGGAAAAAAACTTTTTTTGAGATAAACCTGCAAGAAAAACAACATAAGAAAATTAGTCAAAATGAAATGTAAAATTAAGATCATCTAGGCCTAGGAGAAACAATGGAGCATGCAATTAGAGGTAGTCCTTGTCTTACAATCATTAAGTGACTGTTCTAAGTTACAACTGCACTGAAAAAAGTGATTTATGACTGTTTTTCACACACGCTGCAGCATCCCCACGATTAAAAATTCAGATCCTTGGCAACTGGCATGTATTTATGACGGTTGAAATGTCCAGTGTCATGTGATCAACTTCTGACTAGCAAAGTCAACAAGGAAACCAGATTTACTTAACAACCATATAACCATGTTACTAACTTAACAACTGCAGTGATTTACTTAACAGCTATGGCAAAAGAGGTTGTATAATGGGGCAAAATTCATTTAACAACTGTCTTGCTTAAAAAGAACTAAACAACTACAACCAAATAAAGTTCAAATCTCTTCCTCTGAATTCGATCAATGTGACCCTAGCCACATAATGGATGGCTATTTTGTTTTCTTTATGGCAAGATTACCTCATTCAATAGAATATCATAATATATAAAACAATAATAAGCTAAATAAAAGGATATTTTAAGACTAAAGAGGAATAATTAAAGCATCAACAATTTCAAAAAATGAAATAATTTTGACTGTAATCAAGAAAAGAAAAATATTTCAATATTTAAAACACAGCAATTGTGTAGGTTTTAGAGGAACACAATTTCTATATTAACTCCACACTCAGAATGAAGTAAGTGATAATTCCTAAATATCCATAACATCACAACCATAAAAAAATACTATCTGTTCTCCAACACACCAACCTAGAAAAAGTGTTGTCAAAAATAAGTATGTAAATTCCAGCATTTCGGATTTTTACATTCCCTCTGATAGTTTCCTTATGAGAATTGCAGCGAGTCATGGGAATAAGAACCTGCAAAATATATATCAATATATTAGCTAGAAAGAATTTTGCCAGTATAAATTAACTTAGGGAATGAATGAATGAATATGCTTTTAACCAGCCTGCCCAAATGCTTTCTCTATGTGTTGACTTTGATTTCCATCACTATCAGCTCATAAGGCCACAACTAATTAATTAATTAATATATCACCCATCTTACTATCAAGCAACTCTGGGCAGCCTACAATATAATAAAAACAATATTAAACATTAAATATTAAAATTAACAAAATTAGCTAAGATAGGAACCAATGTACAATGGTGTAGAGATGAAATCCTCAAGATTCTCAACCCACTAACTACATTATGGAATGCCCAAGCCAATCGGCAGAGCCAGGTTTTGAAACCCTTTCAGAAGGCCAAAATATTATTTGAAAGATACAGTAATGAGAAGGAAATAGAGACCAAAAGATTTTCAGCAACCTTCTGTTTGATACTTATAGTGTAATGGATCAATCAGAGCTTCTTATGACAGGGATGGACAACCTACAGCAAAAATGTCCCCACATTTTTTTTAACCCCAGAGCCTTTTCATGCAGGGCAAATCCAAACAACAATTAGTAGTATTGTTTCCTGCTATCTACAGATTAGAACTCTACTCCCCACTAAAACTATAGCATGTTGCTTAATTATATTTTTGGGGCAGAGATCTAGAACGGTGTAGCTCTGGTAGCAAATAACAGATTTTCTTAGTTGAATTGATTTGTTCATAATTATATTATGTGCAATGTTTCCATGGAGAAGAACAATTCTGTATGAAGGGCTAACTTACTTTGCATTGATCCAGAGAGGTGTCTTCTGATTGCTTGTACACTGCGCTGAACGATATGCTCTTTGGGTCTGATGAAAACACCCAACTTATTGTAAGGCCAGTTTCGTCTACAGTGATTGGAATAATGCTGTAAGTACCTGACTTAATAAACAGTTCTCTGGTACCTTCTCCAAACTTTAAAATCTCTTCCACTGTGAGAGGTAGCTTTAGCCTGAAGATAACAAGACCAAAAAGAAAGCTTGACCAACCAATGACATAAAATGTGAAAAACTCATTTCTTACTGGCAAGAACATTTGTTATGAATCAATGTTATTAAAAGAAACAATGGTTTAAAATTATTGTCCTTCTGGCCAATGGTAGTTTCTTCCAAATAAATATAGGGAAATAAGCTGGGCTTACATCAATTCTCCTGACTTCAGCAAGCAGATCTCCGCATCTTGGGCCATTTCCAAATCATCAGATTCATCAACAGTTGAGGAGCTATAGGTGCTGTTTCTGGGGACATAGATAATCAGGTTATCATAATCAGATATTATTCCCAAAATGTATACAGAAATCTTCTGAAAATCCAAAATCCATGATGGCTTATGATAAAATTAAATTAAAATTATCAAAATTAGCTAAGGTAGGAGCCATGAACCTACGGGTGGGAGATAGCATGGTTATCTGTTTCAGTCAGGATTCAGGTCCAATTTTGGGATGGAAATAAAACTGATCATGTTTTATGATGTCTTGGCAGGAACAAGACAGGGATTATCTACTTGACCTCTCAGCAGCTTGTGATACTATTGATCATGGTATTCTTCTGAAATGGCTCTAGGAGCTGGGAGTGGAGGGCATTGTGTTACTCCGATTCACTTTTTTTCTTCAAGGACATTCTCAGTTGGTATTGATGAAGGGCAAGAAAGAGTCTAATCCCCAGGCCCTGTTTTGCAGAATCTCAAGGGTCAGTACTTTCTCTGCTGCTGTTAATATTTACATGAAATTGCTGGGGGAGATATCCATCACTTTGGTTAAAATATCATCAGAATGCTGATGATATTCAGCTGTACATCTCTGTCCATGGGGAGTTAAATGATGCTGCAACCACCTTTTTTCAGTGCCTGGAGGCTGTTGAGCTATGGAGTACTGTTCAATGGGCTAAATAGTTTGTGCATGTATTACCTCTTCTATGGGAGATGCACTGACTACCTATTTATAGTTTAAGATGCTGGTTATCACTCTAAATATGGTTTGGGACCAGGTTATTTAAAGAACTTGCCTCCTATTACATCCATCAGGACAGGAAGGCAATTATAAGAAAACAGGCAATATAAGCTAGAAAAACTCCAAAACAATGGGAGAAAAAACAGGTACTCATTTTATATACATCTATATAGTTAAATTTTATATCTTACCTAAAGTATTTTTTTATTTTCGGCAATACCAATGTTATATTAGTTCAATGGGCAAAAGATACAAAGGTTTAAACTTAAAGTTTGTTATATTATAATGTGTCATAAAATTCACTGTTACATTAACAAGGAGACTAAGACATTGCAAATTTAGACTGATGAAGTGCACTTATTAAAATTAATGAGTTTTGTTAAAAATGACAATTGAAAAGTTTAAATATTAACATCCATCATATGCGTTTTTTAATAAATACAGATTCATCATCGTGGATGAGCAATGCTTTGCAAAACACAAAAGAAGCAATCATGAGTGAAAGAAATTAAAGGTAGAAAATAAAATAGAATATCTCATTACATCTATATGGCAACAGCTTTCACTGTGTTTATGGATTGCTTATTTCTGGGGCTTATATACTTCTTTAATCCGGCAGGAGTCTCTGAATAGTGTACCTTCCCTTCTTAAAAAAAAAGGTGAAAATACAAGAAAAATAATGCTAAAAAATTAAATGACAGGAAGAAATAATAACAAAAGGATATTTTAAAACAAAGGCATTTGGAAGAAGTTTTCAAACTCAATCCAGAATAAGAGTTCAAATTTATCCTGGGGAGGGGGAGAAGGAGAGGGAGGGAGAGAATTAGAATATTTTTTTCCTTAGGTGGAGTTCTCTAAATGTTTCGACTGATTATTCCTATCCATTTTCCATGTGGCTCAGACATTTCATCATTTCATCATATACACAACACTATTAAAAATCAGTATTGAAAACAAATAGGATTATTTAATGCTAGGATGCAATATATTGATGCTATAATATTTTTCCCACATTCTACACACAGAGATTGATTGTGAAAACAGAATATAGGATGGTTGTAATAATTCTAATTCACTCTTTGTATATGATGTAATACATAAGAAATAGAATAGTTTTATAAAAACATTTTACTTTACAGTACTTGTCTATTTTAAAATTACCATCACTAGATAGCATTATATCAACAAAGTAGTTATCTTTGCTTACTTGCACAATATCTTATCAAATTCTTTTTTCAGGCTTCTTCCTTGTGGCTACTAACCATCAGTCTTTACTTGACAAAAAATTGCACTGATAAACTATGCACAGGCCTCAAAGACCTCAATTCTGCCAGATGAAAAATGCCAGCGAAAGCATTTTTAGGATGTACAGTAGAGCACACTTTAAGAGCAGGGATTACTCAATTCCCCTGATTCCTTCTCTCCCTCCCTACCAATGTTACCAGCCAGCAGGAAAACATCCACCAACCATTTTACTTAGTCTTGCCTGAGACAGAAATAAGGGGAGGAGGTGAATTCTGGCGTATAGTTATAGCAGCAAGTTGATTTGTCAAAATGTGCTCCAATTTTACGTAAGTGTTCTGTAGGAATATTCCAAAGGAGCTCAACTATGAATGATAAACTTCTAAACTTAATAAATTTCTATATGGGTTTAGATCTCATTGATAAAAGTGCTAAACCTGTTTCAAAAGATGAATACAACACGACTTTACCATTATTCCACAAAAGTATAAGTTTGTGTTCAGAAATCAACCAGTTGTGAGAAGGAAGTAAAAAGCCAGTGGTTTTCATTTACAATAGATTTCTCAATTGTTCAAGGCCAAGAAACTCGGGGCAAGGAATCTGTTGTAAATTAGGAAAGGTGGTAAAGGTTTTAAATTACAGGTGCAGGAGAAGAATTGCGCCTACTTTTTGAAGTATTCAATTCCCAAACTAATAAAAATTCAGTAAATAGTTCTATAAACAGTTCTTTTATTATTAGTGAAAATATTCAGTTCTGTTTATAGTTCTATAAACAGTTCCTTTATTATTAATGAAAAGATTCAGAGTTTGTCAGTCACACAAAGACAATAAATAAGAACAATTAGAAAGATTCTAGCTTAATGTATACTGAGGCTATACAGTGTCTGTATATTTGGAAATATTTCAATTGCCAAAACCTGATAATTTCATTTTTATTAGTTATACAGTACTGAGCAAAAGTGTTAGGCAGTTATGCAAAAGTGCTGTAAATTAAGAATGCTTTCAGAAATAGAAGCACTAATAGTTTATTTTTATCATTTAAGAAAATGAAAAGTAAATGAACAGAAGAGAAATCCTAATCAAATCAATATTTGATGTGACCATCCTTTGCTTCAAAACAATATCAATTCTTCTAGTTATAACAACAACAACAACAACAACAACAACAATAATAGACAAAATGATCTTGGAAAACTGCAAGAAAAGGAAGACCAACCTGAATGTGGCATGGATTGACTACAAAAAGGCATTTGACTCTCTGCCACATGACTGGATAATCAATGCCTAGAAATAACAGGAGTCAGTAGAAACTTCAGAAAATTTGTGCAAAGATCGATGGCACAATGGAAGACCCAGTTGCAGATCAATGGTAAAAGACTGGGAGAGGTTAATATCAAGAGAGGAATATTTCAAGGAGATTCATTGTCACCATTATTATTTGTTATTGCACTGTTTCCTCTGTCAACAATACTGAATAACTCAGGACATGGCTATCAAACATCAAAAACATCTGCCAGACTATCCCACCTCCTTTACATGGATGATCTGAAGCTGTATGGAAAACATCATCTGAAATAGAATCGCTGCTCAACACTGTCCGTATATATAGCCAAGATATTGTAATGGAGTTTGGCTTGGACAAATGTGCCACACTTACTATCAAACAAGGAAAAATAATGAAAACTGAAGGAATCAAGATGCCTCACGAAAATAACATTAAGAGTCTGGATGAGGAAGAGTACTACAAATACTTGGGTATCCTTCAAGCTGACAACATCAAGCACACTGAAGTCAAGAAAAAGATTAGAGGTGAATACCTCAAGAGAGTGAAGAAGATCTTAAAATCCAAACTCAATGGAGGAAATACCATAAAGGCAATCAACACCTGGGCAATCCCAGTCATTAGATACACAGCTGGAATAGTGGACTGGACTCAAGCAGACCTAAAAGCAATGGATAGGCAGACCAGAAAAATAATGACAATGAATCAGGCCATTCATCCACGCAATGACATTGACAGACTTTATCTACCAAGGCAAATAGGTGGGTGTGGAATGCTACAAGTACATCAGATGGTTGAAGAAAAAAAAATGGCTTTGGAAGAATATCTGAAGAACAATGATGAAGATGCACTGAAATTAGTATATCAGGAAGGCTTACTGATTACTGGAGAGACCAAACTCGCCTACAAGAAAGACCAAATGAAGAACAGAATAGAGGCATGGGAAGACAAAGCACTACATGGCCAATACATAAAAAAAAATAGCTGGGAAAGCAGATAATAACAAGACCTGGCAATGGCTAAGAGCAGGAAAATTGAAGAAAGAGACCGAGGGACTAATTCTGGCTGCACAAGACCAAGGCTTAAGGACAAACGCATATAAAGTCAAAATTGAGAAGACAACAACAGACAGTAAGTGCCGCCTATGTAAAGAAGATGAAGAAACAGTGGACCACCTGGTAAGCTGTTGCAAGAAGATTGCACAGACTGACTACAAGCAGCGGCATGACAAAGTAGCAACAATGGTGCATTGGAAGATCTGCAAAAAATATCATTTGCATGTAAGCAAAAACTGGTGAGATCATAAAATAGAGAAAGTCATAGAAAATGATAAAATTAAACTGCTCTGGGACTTCAGAATTCAAACAGACAAGCACCTGCAACATAACACCCAGACTTAACAATTGTCGATAAGAAAGACAAAAAAGTCTGGATAGTGGACGTGGCAGTGCCTGGAGACAGCAGAATAGACGAGAAAGAACTGGAGAAGATAACAAAATACAAAGACCTACAAATAGAAATAGAAAAACTGTGGCAAAAGCAAGCAAGGTAGTACCAATAGTCATAGGCTCCTTAGGTGCAATCCCAAAACAACTGGAGCACCACTTGAACACCATTGGCATTGACAAATTCGCTATTAGTCAATTGCAAAAGGCGGCCTTATTAGGAACTGCTTCCATCCTGCGACGATATCTGTAATACCATCAAACATCCACATCTGTCTATCCCAGGTCCTGGGTAAGGACTCGATAGGTAGACAAAATGC